AATAATTTGAAGGGTTGAAGGAACAGGCATATGGGAAATGTTTTAGGAGCACTAAATTTGTTAATGGTGTGGAATATTTTGGGAAATGATAATAGTGGCACAACATGAAAAATGTAATAAATTATAAACATGAAAGTTGTGTTGGTGAGTGTTTCAATGGGTATATTTCTACCACAATTTCAAAGTTTCAAAAAAATAAATTAATATCCAATATATTTTCCTAAGTGAAAAAAGTGAATCTAAAAAGGTGATCCTCACATGCTATATTATTCTAACTACATTTTTTTAGGTAGAAACTAGAAAGAATGGAAAATCAATAGTTGTCATGGTTAATTCAGAAGGCTAGACGAGTAAGTCAGTTAAAGCCCAGTTTTTCCTAGTAATTAATCTATATGACATTGTTATTATTATGTATCGTTAGGTACAATCTAGTCAGCTCTATCTCAGAGCAATCCTGAATAAAACAGAAAACATTGTTCAGTCTTGTGCCATCCTCATAATTGCTGTTTGAACCCATTGCTGCAGCCACTGTGCCAGTCCACCTCATTGAGAGTCGGCCTCTTTTTCACTGACACTTTTCTTTGCTGAGAATGTTTTCTTTTCCAGGGATTGGTCTCTCCTGATCGCATGTCTAAGGTACATGAGACAAAGTCTCATCATTCTCACTTCCAAGGAGCACTGTTGGTTCTTCCTCAGTGCTATTTGTTTGTTCTTCTGGCAGTCTGGGGTTCTTCCAGCATCAGTCACCAATACCACGATTAAATGCATCAATTCGATTGATCATCTTATTAATTATCCAACTTTTGCTTGCATATGAGTTGATTGAAAATACCAAGTTGCGTATTTGCTCTTTAACACTTTAAAGCATAGGTTCTCAACCTGTGGGTCGCGACCCCATTGGGAGTCAAATGACCCTTTCACAGGGGTCACCTAAGACCATCGGAAAACACATATTTCCTCTGGTTTTAGGAACCAAGACACCGCTCCTCTATCCGTCTCCAGGCGGGTCCGCCCACAGGCAGATACGCCCACATAGGAGTAGCCAGTGTGAAGACTGTTACCCATGCTACACCATGCTTCAAGACAAAACTTCATTTATTTGTAATTAGAAATACATATTTCACAATATATAATTACGTGTTGTTTTTGTGACTAATCACCATGTTTCAATTATGCTCCATTTGAGACAACGAAAATACATCCTGCGTGCCAGATATTTACATTACAATTTATAACAGTAGCAAAATTAGTTATGAAGTAGCAACAAAAATAATGTTATGGTTGAGGGTCACCACAACATAAGGAACTGTATGAAAGGGTCGCAGCATTAGTAAAGTTGAGAACCACTGCTTTAAAGGGTCTTATGTAGAAGATTTGCCCAATGCAATACATCTTTTGAACTCTTGACTGTTTCTTCAATGAACATCGATTGCGGATTCTAGTAAAATTAAATTCTCAACGTTTTGCTTTTTCTTCGCTTATCATGAAGTTGTCTGTTGGTCCATCTTTTCATATTATGTGTTCAGCATAGAGATCGAATAAGTGTGATAAAAAGTACAATGCAGACGCACACTTTCCTGATTTGAAACCATGCCCTGTCCCCCTTGTTCTGTTTGAACGGCTGCTTCCTTGAGCTTTATACGGAGATGCATGGTTAAGCAAAGTAATATGTATGGAATTGAGTATATATTCAGGTGGTATATACACATATATCTGGCTGCTTTGTCAAGTTACAGGACCTAAAAGCAATTAACGAGCACGCATAGAAGCCAGATGTCAATTTCTAAAAAAATTTACAGTAAAGGAAATAGGATCCTTAAAGGGACAGAGAATATACATGATGAGCTGAAGTATCTTTTAGTACTGAAATAAAAGAATTGCTAAAGTGACTAAATAAATAATACAGCGATAGGAGCATTTCAAAGACACACAGAAGTCAAATAAAAGAGCATCTAATATGTAACTCTGGAAAAAATTGAGCAATAAACTGGATTATACAACTCCATGTATAAAGTATGTTTGTCTACACTGATGTTAGCAGTTGCTCAAATACATTAAACAATGGGGAAAATATAAATATCCTCCCCAAAATGATTTCAAATAATTTATGTAGACAATGTACAGGTTTCTCAAAAGCACAATTAAGTGCTTCATAATTCCCATTCTTATAAATGTTACCCATAATTTTTTATAACTCACATACTTGAATGTCTTTGCACAGTCAATAAAACAAAGGTAAATATGGCTCTCGGATTCTCTCCTTTCAGTAAAGATCCATCCAACATCAGCAATAATATTCTTCATTCCATATCTTAAACCTAGTACGTCTGATGTTAAAGTTGATAATGCAATACATAAAATACATAACGTAATACAAATCAATTGCATACTAAATAGAATTCTGATAAAATACAAATAGAAATTATTTTAAATGTAAAACAATTCTGAAATTAATTGAAATTATAATACTACCTTTTAAAAGTTTTGAAAGAGTGTAGCCTTGCCAGAGATTAAAACTTATAATGCAACAACTATTTGAAACTAAGAAAAATATAGACAAACAAATTGAAAGGACAAACAAAAAGCAATCTAAAATAAAAAGGTCCTTCAAAAAGTCCATACAAAAATGAAATTATTAGATAATGAAAGTTTTCCACCTTTTTGAAGTTCCTTCATAGTTTTTAGTATGTATAAAATATATTATATGATTAACACAAGATACCTCATAAACAAAAAATAATATTATTTATTAGGAATTAATTATGCAATTTGTCAATATATACTTAATATATTAATGATATTAATATTGATCAATAAGTATTAATATATACTTAACCAGTGATAAATTATTTTATGATCCCACTTTTGCCCTTGTAATGAATTATCTGTTAGAGGTATTTGTTTGAATTTACAATACCTTCAAGCCCAATACTTGCTTTGTCATGGGAGCACAATACCTTCTTTGTCTGAATTTAATTTTTAATTGCAGTTAAGAAAACACTTCCCATAATGGGATTGGATGAAATCCACAAATGAGAATAAGGGATATCAGAGAATTTTCATTCCTGTCCTAATTTAAGTAGCTTTCAAAATAGTAACAAATCACATGTGTACATTTTTAAAACAAATATTCACTCCCACTATATATATGGCTCGTTAAGGTTCCTACATTCTTAGCATCATTTGTCTTTAAAATAAGTAAAGGAAAAAAGAGAAATTAGAACTAAAACTTTCATTTGTTTTGTATTATTTTTTAAATGCTGTTAGAAAAAGTTGGTTAATGGCTGAAAAAGAACTTGAGTTAAGATATTAGTCCGCACCATATATTAAAAATGCACTGTATGCTTATATATCAATTATAATTATATCAAATAACATTGGCATCTGTAAAAATACTAATTTTGAATGGTTACATATTTCTTACAAATTCAAGAGAAAAAGACAAGTAGATAATATTACATGGAAATGTTATACAGCTCTGTATCAAGTATTAAGTAAAAATTTTAAAGAAAACAACATCAGAACTTAAACACAAATGAGCTGACACCAAGGGCTCAAGTGGAAAGTGGGTGTTGTGAGAATGATGAAGTCAACATACGTACTAATGCACTGGACACAAATGACATATGTACAGATTGTGATGAGTTGTATGAGCTCCTAATAATAAAATGATTATTTAATTTAAAAAAATAATAATAATGACAAGGAATAAGGGCAGTTTTGTCATAATTCTAAGACCGAACTCTACCTTTACTGTAGAAATATATCCTACTTAACAAATAATGGCATAATATAAAATCATTGCAATTCATAGTTTTATGGAATGTTTAATTACAATGGAAAATGTTTGCTGTAAAAAAGTGAGTTAAGTAAAAAGAGCAGAATGAAAAAAATGCTTAAAATATGATCTTAATTTGGAGATGTGTGTACACATATGTTCTGACGGAATCTATTTAACGTTCATGTCTCTCTGTCATAGCCATTGAGTGTGTGATGGCTCACAGTGACTTTCTAGGACAGGGTAGAACTGGCCCTGGGAGTTTCTGAGACTGCACTATTACAGTAGAAGGGCCTGGTCAACTTCCTCATTTGAAAACTAGTAACAATAACAATTTATGACATATAATACATGCTGTTTGCATATCAAAGAGCCCTGACCATGTAGTTGCTATAGCCCTTAGCTGCTCACCCTGGGGTCTGGGTTCAAACACATAAGCCTTTCCGTAGGAAAAGAGTGACAATCTACTTCCATGAAGATTTACAGCTTTGGAAACCCTGTAGGTCCAATTCTACTCTCTCCTATAAGGTTCCCAGCAGTCAGAATCAACTCAGTGTTTTTTTTTTTGTTGACCTTAGGGTACAGTTTTCTAGACACATCAGCTATTATTATTATATATTATTTTATAGTAAGAAGCAAATGAGGAAATTAAAACTAGCAAAGTGTTATTGCCACATGGTTTTCATGAGAAAAATTGCTATAGACTATATTGTAGGTCCTTTTTTTATAGGAATAAAATCAGGGTCAAGTCAACAGCAACTCTTTTTAGCCCAAATATAAGCCTAGATCTTTGGAAAAGAAGATTCCTTTTATTTATAAGAGCTCTGTGAGATCATTCAATTTTTCCACCCACTTCATGGAAACTTTACCTAATGTCTCCCTACTTGCTTTGTTGATCTGTATGTATATACTTACTATTATTCTAATGATTGATTAGCAACAGTCTAACCAATTTAAATATTTGCTTAATCAAATTAATATTTATTTAATCAAATTAACATGATATATTACCACATTGTAAATTGAGAACCTATCTTTTCATTTATTTTTAGAAATAAAAATAATGATGTTTGTGGCTATGTTGTTCTCATTATTGCTTTATAAAATATAGGGAAAATACTTTTCCCATACATACAACAATGACATAAGAATTTAGTAAGGACAAGAATAAATAAATCTCTTAGAGAACAAACTGTGCCCGTTAATTGATGACTCTAAAGACTCAGTGAGCGAATAATTTAATGTATAATACTCTTTTCACAGCGTCTTTCACGTCTCTGTTTCTCAGACTATATATGAGCGGGTTGAGCATTGGTATTATAAGTGTGTAGAACACAGCAACAATCTTGCTTTGCCGGGGTGAGGAGATGGCCCCAGGTTGGGCATACATGAAGAACACGGACCCATAGAATAAACTCACCACTGCTATATGGGAGCCACAGGTAGAGAAGGTCTTAGTCCTGCCCTGAGTTGATGGGATCTTCAGAACAGTGGAGAGGATATAAGCATAAGATATCAGAATGACTGCTGTGGTGACAATGATAATGAAAGCCGACAGAATGAACAGCACAATTTGATTCACAAAAGTGTCAGCACAGGAGATCTCAATCAGGGCTGGGACATCACAGAAAAAGTGGTCAAGTCTGTTTTCTTCACAGAAATGTAAGCTGAAGGTGAAACCCGTCTGGACTATGGAATTAATGCCGCCACAGATATAGGAGCCAGTAACCAACCGAACACAGACCTTCTGAGACATGTGCATGGGGTAAAGAAGAGGAGAACAAATAGCGGAGAATCGATCAAATGCCATGACAGCCAGAAGAAAGCCTTCTGTTGTGACAAAGAGGGCGAAGAAGAAGAACTGCGCAGCACAGCCATTGTAAGAAATTGTCTTTTCATTAGACAAGAAGTTTGCGAGAGTTCTCGGAGCAATGACAGTGGAGTAGCAGAGATCTAAACAGGACAAGTTTCTGAGGAAGAAATACATAGGGGTGTGAAGTCTGGCGTCTGCCTTAATGACAACAATCATACTGGTATTTCCCACCAGGATGACCACGTACATCAGCAAGAACACCAGGAATAAGAGGATCTGTAGCTCTGGAGGGGTTCTGAATCCCAGTAGAATAAACTCAGTCACCTCTGAGTAATTCCTAATCAATTCATTCTTCATAGCTGAAGTGTAAGTGCAGCTGGAAAGATAGAAAAAGGAACGGAACAAGTAACCAGAATACTCATTGTAGCTTTTAGTCAAAACAATACACCTGGTGAACCAGTATAAAAATGTGTTGTTTCATCACATTCTTCTGTGTGTTTTCCAAAACAGAAATGAATGTAAAGACTGAGTTATATGAATAGGTTTTCTTAGTGAACAGTTCAATTTGATTGGTTAGCCATTGGGTTAAGTGTGTACTTATTTGCAAATGGTGCAGATTAGATGTCTCCAAGGTGCGCTCAGATCAGAGATTGTGAGAAAATAGCTGAAACTATTACGGTATTTGATTTCTTGATTCTTTTGTTAGTTTACTATTGAAAATTGCCTCCCTGAGTAGGATATGTCTTCCTCACATTGAGAGTCACTTTAATTTTTACTTCAGGGTCAAAAACTGGAGCAATTGGTAATCTCGTTTTAATTTCTTTCTTTTTTTTTTTTTTTAAGTTATTTTCGTTTTCTCTATCTGTTAAAAGGAGCCATGATAGCGCTGTGGGATAAGAGTTGGGGTGCTAAGTGCAAACTTAGTGGGTCAAACCCACCAGCTGTTCCACAAGAGAGAGATGGGGCTATCTGATCCCCATAAGATTTACAGTCTCATAAATGCTTTAAGGGTGGCTATGAGTTGGAACTAAATCCATAGCGATGGGTTGTTTTTTTGTTTTTTATTGTTGTTTTTTTGTTTGCTATCTTGCTGCCATCAAGGGGATTCCAAATCATAGACACCCTATAGGACAGAGTAGAACTGTCCCTGTGAGTTTTAAGACTGTAAGTCTGTAAGGGAATATAAAGCTCATCTCTCTCTCTCTCTTAATTTTATGCAATATGAACCTTTCAAAGTGCATTAGATCAATTTGGTCCAGTTACAAATTCGACCTAAAAAAATTAAAGTTTAACATAGATGTGGATGGATTCTAGATGGCAGAGGAATGATCAAAATAACCACCAGCAGAGCATATTAACTGCTAGACTGCCTATTTGCATGAAAAGTTCCTAATTTGAACAGCACAAATGAAAGAAAGAGGAGAACTTTAACTAATACAATCTAAACAAAACTGTGGTGAATGAGCAGTCAATAATTATAAGATCTCACTAATAATTAATACCGTTTCTTATGTCACTAGACACTTTCATATATGTGAAGTCAACCACATTTCTGAAGGAAAAAATGCACATGAACGAAAGCAAACCTTTGTCTAGCAAGTTTTTCTGCAATAGGGAGTGCATTTCCTCACTGCTCCAACCACGGTTCAACTTGCTAACATGAATTATGCCTTATCTCTTATTTTTATTTTTCCCATATTTATTCATTGATTAGACCAACAAATAGATGTGTAGTTGATCCTCAGAGAAAGTCTCTCCTGGGGAGAGAAGCCAAAGTGTTGGGCATTCCCTGTGCAGGATTTTCACCAGGGACTCAAACTTTCTCTCACCAAATATTTTGTACTGTGGTACAGAATGAAATATGAGAGAAAAAATATTAACTAGTAAACTTATCAGACATTTGGGAAGTTGGGAGAGTTGGCCAGAGGACATAAGCTAATATTTTGTTTATAGACAAGAGTAATAAAATTCAATTGGATAAGAAGTACTCTGTTTTTCCTTTATCACTCTGATTCACATAAAGGGTGATTTAATATTTTTATTTGGATTAGCTACAACCCTTACTTGAGAAATTTAATTTTTAATCTCTATTGTACCTTTATCATGGTGTGGCTAATTGTAATAGAAACCAATCTAATCCACAGGAAATTCATACGGACAATAGGCTCAACAGTCCACAAAGCAACAGAAAAAAATCCAAAGCATGGGATGTTGAAGTGACTGGGAAATTAGAAACAGAGAGTTATGACAACTCTTTATGATTTCAAGAAAAGAGTTGGAAGTGGTAGAAAAGATCCCTGAAGTATTGACTTTTCTGCAAGAGTGAGATTCACACCTGGATTTGGCTAGCAGGAGCTGGGAACAAATGAAAAAAACACTTCAAGAAGCTGATATGAAGAAAGATACATACTATTTTCTCATTCCTCTTTAAGCTGCCTTTGTCATATTAAAGCAATTAGAGACAATATGTTCATAAATGGGTGCAACTGAATTTGGCTGGCATCTACTCTAGAACATAAAATTAGTCCTCAATTTGCATTTTAATAAAGAATACATCTTACAAAAAAATTAATACACCCAAACCTTTCCAAAGTCACGTGTTGTGTCATCATCGTTTGATACTCGTACCTTTGTTGAATCTGTTTCTCATTAGTAGAGAAATATGCTTGATCCACCCAGTGTAGATAGCATGTTAAAACTTTGCAAAGTATTTGACTAATAGCAGAACAGAGTTCTAAACTTAAATCCACTGAAAATATTGCAGGTTACAAAATACTTTATTTACAAGCAGATACTGAGTTTTAATGAAATAGTCACAGAGCAAGAGATCAAGAAGTCTCCAAAACATTGAAGAAAGCAGAAATAACATTTATATGATTTAATATACCAAGATAATGGCTATCAAAAAGAATAGGTGTAGCAATATTAACTTGTGATAGAATATACTTTAAGACAAAATCTAGCATTACAGATTAAAAAAAGCATTATATACTGATTATTAACAAGAGGATAGTATGCACCTAATGAACAATCCTTGAAATAGATTAATCAAGCTCTTACACAGTTGAAGAGAGAAATAGATAATTCTACAATAGTAGGAGACTTTCATATTTGATATTTAGGGAAAGATAGAAAAACTAGACTTCAACTCAACAAAGACAAC